ATAATATATTTTTTATGTCTTGTGGCAACTAACGTTTCTTTTTCTTTTTTTCTTTTTTTATTATGTAATTTTGAATATAAATTAGCCTTAAAAATAAATTGGAAAAAACTTGAAACATGAAGGGCGAAAGTAAAGAAAAGAAATTTCAAGAACAAAAGTGAGAAAATAACCAAATATAAAAATGACAAAGTATAATTTACCCTTGATTATAATTATGGGCTTGATTGGCATAAGTTCTAACAAAATGTTAATAATAAAAAAGTAAGGAAAAATCGCATCTCTCTCTATGAAATTTTCTATGGAAATTACATTTTACCATTTTTGGTCCTTCAATTTTTTTTCTTCACTTTGACCTTTCATGTTTTAAGTTACTCTCAATTTATTTTTAAAGCTAATTTTTGTTCAAAATTAGATAAAAATTATCACATTAAAAACCACCTGATATGATTTAACTTAAGCCTCTAATCCAAATATAATAGTATATTTTTTTATGCCAAGTGGCAGCCAACATGATGTTTTCTCTCTAATTTTGGACATAAATTATATTCATAAATAAATTGAGAAAAATTTAAAATATAAAAGGTCAAAGTGAAAATTAAATTATATATGTATATATATATAAACTTCAAGAATCAAAATGGGAAAATGGTAAAACATAAATTGGGAGGGCATTCTGCCCTAGTTTGGAAAGGTTCTACAACTATAGGGTAAGTTAAGTCCAAAAGACACCACGGTTGTGACCATCGACATACGTCTCGCAGACTCCCTGAACGGAGCAGAGGACAATCAAATAGTACGTAAAAGTCAAAATCCAATGATTGCTTGTTGACTTCAACATTGACAAACCGTCCAGGATATTGAACGATGAAGCAGGGTAAAAAAATCATGCTCATAATGTTGTAAATATAATAATCAAATATGAAAATAAATCTCATTAAAAAAAAAAAGAATGATGGAGTTACACTCTAATTTTTCTAAAAGCATCTCCAAGGTTAATCAAATAATTCATCAAATTTGAATAAAAAAAAAAAGTAGGAAATCCTTTATCTGATATCAATTGCTCCAGTGCTATCATCAAACCACCAGTTGTCCGGGAGGACGACCGGCCTGTCAACCGGCAAGAGTAAATGCACCACTTTTGCTGCTTTCCCTCTGAAGAACACTCACATTTGAGAGCTGCTCCAACTTTCTTCAACACAAAATCGATTCGAAGAATGGGTAACCAAGCACCTACAAATCTAAAGCACTCTTCCAAAAACCAACAACACATTGAGAAGCTCTTAAATTTATAGAGTCAGAAATCTAGTCTGAATTCATATAGAGTCAGAAATCTCAATGAATTCAAATCTCAGCTCTGAAGCACTGAAGCACTGAAGCACTCTTCCAACCACAAATCTCAGCTCTGAAGCACTCTACCAACCACAAATCTCAATGAATTCATATAGAGTCAGAAATCTAGTCTCATCGGACGAGACTTATCTTCTCGAGCTAGTCCTAGCCGAGAAGTTCGACGAACTGAACTGGGTCGCTGGAGCTGTGTCGAGATTGGGGAAGAAGTGTATGGTTCCGGCTTCAAGGGTTGGAGCATGTTTATGGGGATATAGTTTGTGGAGCTATAGATGTGAAGGAATTGGGATTTTTGGTGAAGGACATGGATGGGATGGTGAGGAAGATGGAGAGGAAGTTTCAGACTGCCAATCTCTATTGTTGAAGTAACTGAATGACTGCCAATCTCTATTGTTGAAGTAACTGAATGACTGGGGAGACAATCGGCAGACGTCTGACCGGTAAATTGATGAACGCTGACTGGGAAGACAATCGGCGGACGTCTGACTGGTAAATTGATGAACGCTTACCAGATCCTCAGTTTGGTGAAACATTTGATATTTTCTCAATTTGATATCATTTTGATGAAACTATTGGAATAGAAAAAGGATCGCTTTTTTTACCAAATTTAAATTTGGTAATGTATCTGATGAACCATTAGAGATGGTCTAATGGAGTCACCAACTATGAATACCACGACTTTTCAACGTACCAATACATCATATTAGAGCCTCATTTTACATATAAAGTATTTCGAAATCGTGAATCATCGAGATCTAAAATGACAATATATTGTATTTTATCCCCGAATTCGATTTAACCCATAAACTGTTGAAATAGACAAATTCAACAAAAGGATTACCACCTTATTTTATAGAGAAATTAAGAAATCTTTAACTTCGTTAAATATAGATCACTAATCTGTCACAATCAAAAATTTTAGTTCAAGAGTTTCAAGTACGAAAGGGTAAAATCATTAATGTGAGCATTAATTTCGCAAAATCACTTAATTGGTATATACTAATTCCATTTTATGAGATATATTTCCTTGCTTAACTTCACTTTACTCGTTTAATTTCACATATTCCTTTTAAACTAACCTACCATCTATGTAATTAAGAGTAATATCACCTATTTTAGAAACTTTCAATACTTTTTTATATTTTCTTTCCAAAAATTATTGAGGACGCTTTAAAAAAAAATAAAAATAAAAATAAAATGATGAATTACAATAATAGTCCCTAAAATTTAACACCTTTTTTTTATTTAAATCCCTAAAATTTTAATTTTGTCAATTAAATCCTTAAAGTATTAAATTCGAATCGATTCAGTCTTGAAGAAAATATAAAAATAGTATATAAGCCTAAATGTTATATAAAATTATGATCAGGCCCAAATTTTAAGTTTTTGTTAACTTAATTATCTTCTACTTGGTATATTTTGCTCCAATTGATTAATTCTAATTGCTTATATAGGTCTTATTCTATTTGTATTCTACTATTATTTATTTCTTCTAATTCGCAATTATCCATTTTATCTATTTTTCAGTTCTAATATTATTTTATATTTCATTTCATTATCTTTTGTTTGTTCTGCCATTTTTTTATAATTCATTCAGACTATAATTACTTAGATCCTTTTTTTTTTTTCTTTTTTCTAGTGGGTATCCCTTGGAGAATTCGTCTGCCAGGATAAGAGTCAACTACTTACCTTCATCTAATAATAGATGTCGAACTTCATTTACAATTTCTAATTGATTTTCCTTAAAATTTTCGTTAAATGCTTTTAATAACCTGATTATAGTATTATTTTATTCGATAATTATTTGTAGTGCAATACTATTATTTAAATTATCTTATTCGACTTTTTCAATGTATCTAATGGTCAATATTAATATTAGAAAAATTGAAAAACCAGACTCTTAAGTAAACAACAAATTAAAATTCGGGTCTTCTGACAATTTTATATAACCTTTGGGCTTATTTTTATTTTTATATGGTCTTTAGGACTAAATTGATTCGAATTTAATACTTTATGGACTTAATTGACAAAATTAAAACTTTAGGAATTTAAACGAAAAAAGTATCACTTTAAGGACAATAATTGTAATTTATCCAAAAAAAAACAAAACTTTCAAAAATGAGTATTTTCCCAAGAAGTATGGAAATATTCCAACTTAGCCAATATTAATTCTTAAACACATAAATAAAATAGATATTGCAAATAAGGCACATAAACATGCTTTGAAATTAAAAACAATGCATGCACAATCAAAGAGTGCAAAAGGAGATTCCCCAGAATTCCTCCACACCAAGCCATGAAAATATTACAATATACATGACCCTAAATGCAAAAGTAATGCCAAAACACATAGCATATAGACATAGGAAAGATAGGCATCTAAGGGGTGGTTTGGGATGATCTAAATAAATATATTTTTTGACTTTTTATGAAATATGAGTTGGGTATTAGTTGGGTGTGAAGTGATGTGTTAGAGAGGTGATGTGACTTAAATAAGATAATGAGACTTAAATAGGATAATGACTTTTTGACTTTTTTAGATCATGCCAGACAAGGCCTAAATATGACGTATTTGCATGCATAGAATCACAACTTTAAACACGTAAAAGCAACTTAGAAGAGATGTAGTTTCAGACTCATCGTGTAGTAGAGATGTAGTTTTGGATAAAAGAGAATTGGGGACAGAGGATTCCCCATGCAACAACATTAAACCACTAATGGAAGTTTAAGTTACCCCTACTCCCTCTCTCTCTCTCTCTCTCTCACACACACACACGCACACACAGGGAAGTGCAAGAGAACACTCTTCAACAGAGGGAAAATTTAGTTGGTCAAACTCTAGCCACGCTCTGTCCCTAGCAATATGTGCATGTGTATGTGAATGCTGTATGCCCAGTGTCCTGCATTTTTCCATGTGCCTATGCAATCTGAAAGGAAAATTTTCCTAGCGCTCAACATATCTCACACCAAAGATGGAAAGCCGCTTAAGTGTGATAGAAGCTACATTCTTGTTCTACATGTTGCGTGCAAAAATTTAACATAAAAACTATATGCAGGTTTATGAGAACAAGCCTCAAGCATCTGTAGTCTTTAGAGTGAAAAATTACTCTGCAGTCTAGAATTGCACATGGAATGGAACAGCAGCATCAACAACATATGAAGCAAATTACAGATCAAGTTGCAACTCACTCAGCTTCACAATTTCTTCCTGCAGTTCATCATTCAACACCTACCTAGATAATGATCAATGCAGATATGTGAGCCCCCGGTCTTTACAAAATCAACCTAATCTCCTGTATCATATTCACCGGTGGTATGTCTACAAAGCAATCCAACTGTCAGTGATGCCAAAAGATATATAGTCCATCCATTTCCTCCCCCTTTGTACAAAAGCAACAGACTTTTCTATGTTTATCAACCAAAAAAGCAATAAATAAATAAATAAATATTTTAAATGTAGAAGAAAAAAAATCCGTTATCTAGTTGCACATTCATTTATGGCTTATATATATACCTTGGAATTACGAAATGGTGAGAATGTACATTCCACCTGTCCTGCGCCAACAGGCCTACAAACGTGCCGGCATAAAATTAAAAATAACAAGAATAATAAAAAAGAAGCGGCCTACAAATGTGCGTACCAACACATCACATGAATGAAAATAATTTGAAACATGCATTAAAAGAAATGATGCAAAGCATTTAGTAAAACAGCATCAAAAACAGAATTCCACACCACCAAAAATGAAGAGTTGGACAATCATTTCGAAGTTCGATGTATATATAATCACACCTATCATAGCTGCCTTCAGCTGTAGAAAGAAGTTTATCCTGAAAATTGTACTAATGCAAAGGTAAAGGCGGACCAACTGATTGCATCCGTCGCAACCATGCCATCCTTACACTAGACTTCTTTAATTGAAGGAAAACTTCCCTGTATTCTTTCCTCAAGAATATATCTAAAGCAAACAAGTACAGGTCACTTCCTTGTTCTATTTCATCCATCCCATCTAGGCATTCAATGCATTCCCCAATGCTGTAGTTGAGTTTCCCTAATGAGGATTGAACCGTCACAATGCTCCTAGATTCAACTGCACAATTAACGCGATCAGTTCTGCTATCAGGGTTTGCATCTCCCGACTCTTTGATATGCATAAGGGAGGTGGTTGAACCATCACTGAGCCTTCTCCGCTGAGCAGGAGGTTCTGTTTGTCCACTATCTACTGTTCCATCAAAGATGATATCCAATTTGTCTCTGAGGGGGAGTTCTTTAAACCTAAATTGTGCAGCTTCAGGATTACCCTGTAAGAAACCCGTTTTATGATCTAGCAGGAAATCAAGGACAACCTCCATATATTTTTCTAATTCAATAGCTAAGTTGCTTAGTTACCTGTATATAATAGGCCCAATCTTGTTCACTTGCACCAAATGTTTGAGTGCTTGAATCCCATCTCATACTGCTTGTACGAATCAGCTTACACCAGATCTTCCATTGTTCCTTAGTTGCGTCCCAATGATTCTTCAATTGTTTTTTCTCATACCTGATACCCGACTTTTTGTGAAACAATCCTTCAATATTATTCCAACCATCCTTAGTAAAATGTGTCCCTGGTTTATACCCTTTTAACGTCTGTTCGAGACATAACTCCACAAATATTTTGTGGAAAGCGGCTGTCCAAGTAGCTTTAGGTTTCTTCATCTTCAGAGCTGATGCGGCTGCACTCTTCTGTTCACTTGCCATTTCTCCTCTTTCAGACTCTCACAGGGACCTATTGAAAGGACCATTATGGCATATTTAGGCCTCGTTTGGCAAGAGGCTATTTTAGCCAATTAGTCAAAAAGTTACTAAATTAGCCAAAAAGCCAACAACTCATACCAAAAAGTCAAAGATTCTCTTTTCTCTCTACTTTTTGCACATTTTTTCGTAATTAGCCAAAAAGCCTTCCCAAACATACAAGTTTTTTTTACCTACCTTTTTAGCCAAATAGCCAAAAAGTTACTAAATTAGTCTGTTCCCAAACGAGGCCTTAGAAAACAAAATTCCACAGATACTGAAGTTTTATCAAACTGATCCACCGGTTTATAGCATGAGCCAACTTCTTCTCTTTTTTTCCTTTATTTTATTTTTTATTTTTTATTTTGGGTGTGTGTGTGAGTGTGTGTTTTAGGGAATGATTTAAATTCCACAGATACACCCACTCATCCTGTGTATGGTCTAAACCCCAAATACACAAATCACTGGCACATCATGTGGGTTTCAAGGTTGTATTGCATTTAATTCCAAAAAATGAAAAATTCACCTCCACCATACAAGATGGTTGCGCTAAAAGCCTGGTTGCGGCGAGGCTCGTAGTAGCTAGCAATGTCATTTCTAACATCAATCAAGGACATGAAATTATGATGTTATGAGGGGGAAGGGGGTGAAGAAAAACAAAAACAAAAACAAAAAAGTTAAAAGACCATGATCTCTTCCCCTTTTCCCCCCCAATTTTTCTCTCCAATAGGAGAGCTTTAAGAATATTTTTCCTAATTCTAATTTAAATACCAAAATGTGTAGTTTCTAGAATATCAGGGGAGAAGAACAGAAGCTTAGAAATGAACAGAAATAGAAATAATACACTGTAATTTAAAAAATAAAAATAAAAAATTCAAAAGAACAGGAACTATCAAGTTCCAGAAACAACAATCTAAGAATGATTGTAACCTAAATTAATCCAATAGGTATCTTAGGAAACAACATTTTAGCAAATTGAACCCAAAACCTAACTTAATCAACAAAAACGAATCAAATTATAATTAAACCTAACTTGAAGGTGAAAATTTAGTGAAAAAACAACTATGTGTTGTGACTTCTTACATGGAAATTCTCAGGAACACGATACAAAGCGAGTGCGTGTATATATAATACACAAAACCAATGGCAAATATAATATATATACATATATATATAATCTGATTAAAAAGTATAATAAAGTTACCGCAATATACGCAGGGAGGGAAAAGGGCAAACGCAGCAGAGAGCATCCAAACAAATTTCTCAAACAGAGATGAATTGAGCCCACTCAAGGGGTTGCCTACTGGATGGATCAGCAAGTTCTTTTGGGCTTTGATTGGTTAAATTATAGCATGCAATTTAGATTATAATTTATGAGATTTATATTTTGTTGTTTGATTGTAATTTTTATTATTCGTATTACATTTTAATTGGTATTTTATTTAATTAAATTGACTGATTTTTTAAATTTTATAACTAATAAATCAAAACAAACATATAATATATGCATTGCAAAATAAAATGAATAAGAGAAATTTTTTTATTTCACTTATTCTTGTTGAATAACTAATCCTATAAATTATTAATCCTCCAAATAATGTGTTTATGGTGTTAGGCATATTTATTTTGATGATTTATTTAATTATATTTTAATTTATTTAAAAGAGGAAAATAGAATCTAAAATTTATTTTGATAATTTATTTAATTATATTTTAATCAAAATTTATTTTGATGATTTATTTGAATGGGAAAAATAGAATCAAAATTTATTTTGTCCAATTATTTCTCACCTAAACCTTTATCCTAAATGTTATTAGAATGTATTTAATATTTGATTAAATTAGAAATTCAAACAGCCCAAAATAAAAGTTCAAACAGCCTAGCACAGCAGCAGGCCAAAAGGTTTAAAAGGTTCAAGTGGAAGATATTTAAATTAGTAATGATGGAAGTACAATGGCTATAAAGGTTCAAATGGCCAAAAGGTTCAAAAGGTTCAAAAGGTTCAAGTGGAAGATATTCAAATTTGAAATGATGGAGTGGAAGATATTCAAATTGGTAATAATGGAAGTACAACGACTATAAACGGCTATAAATTCAAATGAATACAACGGGTATAAACGGTTATAATTTTCATTATATATACCAAAGCCTCTAATGTAAACAAGTTACAAAAAATCTGAAAATATTCTTTGATCTATAATCACTCATATCTATTTTCAGAAATTATACACTGAGCCTTATAGCTTTAAGCTCATCTTTCCTGTGTGAGATTTACAGAAAAATCAAAGCTTCATTTTATATATCTATCTTTGAGAAATATTTATTGTAAGCTTTTTCTGAAAGTAAAAATACCATTTTATCTTGTAAAAGTATTGCAAACACTGTGTTTTTGAAATCTTGAGAGTGATTGTGAATCACCTAAAATTTGCAAGGTTTTGGGCTCGTGACGTCTGTGTAAAATCCGTAGAGGATTGTTCCATTTCTAAAGAGGTTGCTAGCACCCCTGTGAAGCTAGAAGATAGTGGAAAACCTCAAGTGAAGCTTGAGGAGTGGATGTAGGCTTGGTTGAAGCCGAACCACTATAAATCTGTTTGTCTCCTCTTCCCTAATCTCTTTACTTTCCTACTACTGCTATAACTATCTAATATTCATGTGTTAATCATTTGATTTACCATGTATGTTAGTTATACTTCATTGTTATTTTGCTTAATCATTTACTGCTAAGTTCATCATTGTGCTTGTTAATAATTTGTTGTACTAGTAGTTAATTTTATCGGGGTATTATTAATTTTAATTTGTAGAAACTTAATTCACCCCCTCTTAGGTTTCTTTTTGGGTAAAAATTGGTATCAGAGCCTGGGACTCTTGTTTAGATTTAACAATCTTGAGTTTTTTATCTATAGCAACCATGTATTCTACTTACCCTGCTGTAGGACAAGCTAGCAATAGGTCACCTCTCTTTGATGGTAGTAATTACATTCATTGGAAAGAAAAAATGACTTTGTATATTCAAACTACCAATTATGCTTTGTGGTTCATTATCACTAAAGGTCCTAAAATCCCTACCACGATAGTAGACCATATCAGTGTGCATAAACTTGAGGATGAATTTGATGTGTGTGATTCTAAACTCCTTCAAGGTAATGCTAAAGCCAAGCTTATTCTTGTGTGTGGCGTAGAAGCAAATGAGTGCAATAGAATTTCTAGGTGTATTACTGCTAAAGATATTTGAGATAAACTTGAAATCACCTATGAAGGAACTAACCAAATAAAAGAATCTCGGATTGACATGCTTATTCATGATTATGAACTCTTTACTATGGAATCATTTGAATCTATTTCTGATATGTTTTATAAATTTATCAATATTATTAATGCTCTAAAATATCTTAGTAAATCTTATACTAATGATGAGCTTGTAAGAAAAATACTTAGGCCTTTACCAAATGAATGGGAAGCGAAGGTTATAGCTATTCAAGAAGCAAATGACCTAACAAAATTAGGCATTGAAGAACTCCTAAGCTCACTCATGACTCATGAATTTTCAATGATGGATGGCAGCAAAAAGGAAGTCATTTGGGGAGAAAAATGATGAAGTAGCCAACCTGTGTCTCATAACTCTTGGAGAAGAAGAATTCACTCAAGATGAGGTAATTTCTAATTATGTTGAACTTGAAAGTGCTTTCAATGAATTACATGACATATTTAAAAATGTTTGTGTTAAGAATTCTAAATTAAAAAAATTAGTAACTTCTCTTTCAAATGATGTGGATGCTTTAAAAATGAAAAATGCTACTTTAAAAAATGACTTTACGTTTATTGCTAATGAGAAAAATATTTTGAAAAACAATGTTGAAGATTTAAACAAAACTCTTGAAAATTTTGTAAAAAGAAAAGAAAATCTCAACAAGTTTCTTGGAAATAAAAAAATGTGTTTTTGACAAAGTAGGCATTGGTTTTGATCATCTTAAACCTTTTATGAGATTAAATGTTTTTTAGACTAATCCCTATGGACCCAAGAAAGTATGGGTACCAAGAAAGAAATCAAGATATTTTGTAGGTAGAATCTCAAAGAACACCAAGGATTTCGAGAGGAAATGCACAATAAAAGTGTTCAATCTAAAGAGCAAAATCAGCTCTTACAAGAAGAAGAATGATGAAATGAAAATCACCAAGATAAACAATAGAGGTAATGTATGGGTGAAGATTCCAAAGAGGTAAATGAAGGTATAACTCCTAACACACCTTTAAGCTTAAAGTTCTATATTCTTTAAGGTGTGATTTGTGTACAATAGGTCGTGTCTAATCATTACTTCCATGTAACCTAATTGTACTAAGTTTGCTAAGTCATGTTCTGCTAGTTTCTTTCAAACATTCATTAAACTCAAAAATGATAATTATATTATTTTGATGAATGCCTATTAGAATATGAATGATTCATGTATTCATTATTATTTTATATCATGTAATCCATTGCTATGAAAAAGAGATAGGAAGTGATAAAAAAAAATTTATGAGCATACTTTTCACATCTTATATATGACTTCATACTAATATGTTAATTCCTTTTTGAGTCATATCTTTGTAGAATCAATTTTTATGTCATAGCATATTTTTGAGATGTTTACTATCTATATTTTGAATTCTATATTTTGAATTCTACATTTGTGATCTCAAGAATATGCTCAATATGAAAATTTTATACTTATATGCTTTACATTGGAATATTTGAATGAGTTATGAAATTCGTTGACAATGATCCATCAACAATGTCTAAATGAAAAGAAGTATCATACGTTTGTAGAGACATTGCATCTATCCTATTGAATATCGTTTGAATATGGATTATTTTGGCATACATCTCATGAAATACTTTTAATTGATAAATTGTTGAATTAATTGTTTATAGCATTCATGTTGTGTTCCACATTAAGTAAAATGTTTTTTCACACTTGAGTATGTGGATTGAATTGATGAAAATACCTCTTGATAATGTTATGTGATTAAATGAGATTGTTGCATCATTTTTTAAAAAAACAAAGAGCATAACACTATTTTCTTATCCAACTTAGGGGGATAAATCATTTTGTTAACATACTTGTTAAACCCTTTTGAGATGAACTCCTCATGAAAGAAAATTGAAGATTGAAAAGCTTCCATCTCTTGAACTTAACGTATGCCTCATATACTCTCTTAAGCTTTTGAGGTAAAAAATTTATCTTATATCCTTTGAGCTAATACTGTTATTACTTTGATATGAAAAAGATTGATTATACTTCATATGATTTGCAATGTATACACTTTGATGATACTCTTGCCTAAAATCATGCCTATGCTTAAAATGTGAGCTATATATTGAAATTCATGATTTTTCTTGGCATATGGATTGTTATACCTTGAACATGCTTCATTTTTTGGATTTATATTAGCTCCATGAGATTATATTGAGTTTAACCTATTATGAGCAATATTTGGTATTCTACATAATGCTTGAACTATGATAATTGTTAAATCTTCTAGATTGCATATTGGTATCCTTGGTAGATTGGATGTTGGTATCATTTTGGCATCCTTATAGGTAACATTTGGCATCCTATTTGATATTATTGAGGAGAACATTTTAGTTATGAGCTTTCATTGTTCATATCTCTTATTGGTTTTGCCAAATGAAACAAGGAAAATAATTTAAACTTGATTAGTTTAATAAATAAATTAAAATTTCCTCAGATTCTATTCTATTTTTGATATCACACTTATGAGCTTGCACCTCACATATATTTTTTAATTATCTTGTATAAAATCTGTATGCTCTTGCCAGAAATTGATTGTTAGATCATGCTTAATCGATTGTTAGATCATGCTCAACTGCTTCACATATACTTTAAGTTTAATTTATGCTGGCATTATTTTATTTTAATTTAATTTAATTTAATTTTTTATTTTTCTATTAGGTTTAATTTCTTTTATTTTTATTTTTTCTCATCATTATTATTTTTGTTTGGGCTTAATTTTTTTTTTTTTTTGCTTTTTAATTTCATTTTTCAGTACTTAAACATAAAAACAAAAACAAAAACAAATCCAAATACAAATATTTACATAAAAAAAAAACACCCTTCATTTTTTTACAGCCACACGCCGATTCAAATAAACATTACAAAAAAAAAAAAAAATACCCTTCATTTTTTTCTGGCCATACGTCGATCTTACTTACTCGTCTCTTCCACCGCTCTCTTCTTCTTTTATCACCATGGGCGACCCTTGACGCCTCTATCCCCGTGCTTTCGTCGAGAGCAACGACTCCCCGCTGGCTATCAAAGGCCAAGAACAAGGTTGCTCCAAATCGGGCCATGG